AGTGAAATGCTTCTCTATTTTGAACGGGTATCAATGTGAATTTGGTCACAAGTGTAATAGAGTTGTGACATATTACTGCCTATTTTTGACCCACAGTCAAACATTGCTTTGAGAACATCTGAGTTTTCTAATAGGATCAAGATTGAAGAACTCCTCTGAAATACTTGTGCTGGAGCTTAAAGATTTCAAATCCACAAATTTCACAACAATCCTATACAACTTCCATTTAAATGGCAACAATTCAGACGCAAGTTTATTACAAGTTCTCCATATCTCTTTCGTTTACCCGGAATGATCTTAATTGCTTTTAGTCTACTAACTACAACACTGCTAATTCATGGTCATCCCACGGTTTGCGAAGGATTAATACTTCGCAAACCTTCGCTACGCCATAACTGCAGCTAAAGTACTCCAATCAAGCTGAAAGTAAGATCGTCGGAAAGCTCTTCTCGTAAAGAATCCAAGGGGAGAATCCAACTATATATTAATCTTTCAATTTTCTCGAGCTTTTCACCTTCCTTTCTGGGAAACGAACAGTTGAGAACTCCGTTTTCACTTCTTAAAGAGCCTGAATCGTGCTGTAATTGAGGAGAGCATGGAATCCTGATCATTTTAATGTTCTTCATGGAATAATTCAAACACTTTCGGCTGAAAGAAGTAGTGCAAAGCAAACTTTGCATTTTTTTAGATGTTTATTTGTTTCAGCCATGTATTTGACGACCATGACGACCATATGATGGGCTCACTTATGTGGAATCCACTCATGTCATGAATTTTTGAATTTCTTTAATTTTGCTGCATCATTTTCATGGAGGTCACAGAGTGAGTATTCAGCACCTGAAGCGTTTGCTGCAGATATCACATCATCTTAAACTCTCCTTTTCGCTGGTAATCTTCATTTTGAGTTTTTAAATACGCATTTGGAATAAGACATATGGAGTCATGTCCATTTGGATACCATTTAATGGCGGTTAAGGCTGGTTGCGGTAACAGTAGAAAAAGGCCGATCGATTCCCGTTGTGTCGGGTCACGTTGCCACATGATTTATTCCCTATTTATCACACGTCACAATTCAAATATATATATATAT